CTGTGTCGTAGTCTGTGGGTAGTCTGTGTCGTAGTCTGTGTCGTAGTCTGTGGGTAGTCTGTGCGTAGTCTGTGGGTAGTCTGTGTATGGTCTGTGTCGTAGTCTGTGTCGTAGTCTGTGGGTAGTCTGTGTTGTAGTCTGTGGGTAGTCTGTGTCGTAGTCTGTGTCGTAGTCTGTGTCGTAGTCTGTGGGAAGTCTGTGTCGTAGTCTGTGGGTAGTCTGTGTCGTAGTCTGTGGGTAGTCTGTGTCGTAGTCTGTGTCGTAGTCTGTGTCGTAGTCTGTGGGTAGTCTGTGTCGTAGTCTGTGTCATAGTCTGTGTCGTAGTCTGTGTCGTAGTCTGTGGGTAGTCTTTGGGAAGTCTGTGTCGTAGTCTGTGGGTAGTCTGTGTCGTAGTCTGTGTTGTAGTCTGTGGGTAGTCTGTGTCGTAGTCTGTGTCGTAGTCTGTGGCGTAGTCTGTGTCGTAGTCTGTGGGTAGTCTGTGTCGTAGTCTGTGGGTAGTCTGTGTCGTAGTCTGTGTCGTAGTCTGTGTCGTAGTCTGTGGGTAGTCTGTGGGTAGTCTGTGGGTAGTCTGTGTCCTAGTCTGTGTCGTAGTCTGTGTCGTAGTCTGTGGGTAGTCTGTGGGTAGTCTGTGGGTAGTCTGTGGGTAGTCTGTTGTTAGTCTGTGGGTAGTCCGTGTCGTAGTCTGTGTCGTAGTCTGTGAGAAGTCTGTGTCGTAGTCTGTGGGTAGTCTGTGGGTAGTCTGTGTCGTAGTCTGTGTCGTAGTCTGTGTCATAGTCTGTGGGTAGTCTGTGTCGTAGTCTGTCTCGTAGTCTGTGGGTAGTCTGTGGGTAGTCTGTGGGTAGTCTGTGGGAAGTCTGTGTCGTAGTCTGTGTCGTAGTCTGTGGGAAGTCTGTGTCGTAGTCTGTGTCGTAGTCTGTGGGTAGTCTGTGTCGTAGTCTGTGTCGTAGTCTGTGGGTAGTGTGTGGGTAGTCTGTGGGTAGTCTGTGGGTAGTCTGTGTCGTAGTCTGTGTCGTAATCTGTGTCGTAGTCTGTGTCGTAGTATGTGGGTAGTCTGTGTCGTAGTCTGTGTCGTAGTCTGTGGGTAGTCTGTGGGTAGTCTGTGGGTAGTCTGTGTCGTAGTCTGTGTCGTAGTCTGTGTCGTAGTCTGTGGGTAGTCTGTGTCGTAGTCTGTGTCGTAGTCTGTGGGTAGTCTGTGTCGTCTGTGTTGTAGTCTCTGTCGTAGTCTGCGGGTAGTCTGTGTCGTAATCTGTGGGTAGTCTGTGGGTAGTCTGTGGGTAGTCTGTGTCGTATTCTGTGTCGTAGTCTGTGTCGTAATCTGTGGGTAGTCTGTGGGTAGTCTGTGTCGTAGTCTGTGGAATAGTCTGTGGAATAGTCTGTGGAGTAGTATGTGTCGAGTCTGTGTCGTAGTCTGTTGGTAGTCTGTGGGTAGTCTGTGTCGAGTCTGTGTCGTAGTCTGTGGGTAGTCTGTGTCGAGTCTGTGTCGTAGTCTGTGTCGTAGTCTGTGTCGTAGTCTGTGGGTAGTCTTTGTTTCCACATGCGATCACAACGTTCAAGCACGGCACAGTTCCAAATGTTAGTGAACCAGACAAAGTAAGACCTTTCCGCCTGTAGCGTATTGCTGGCATTGTTACTGAGCGCTAATACCGAGAACAGAAGTGGTGACACTCCTGTGTGAGGTGAAACTGTTTACAAATGTTAACATCTCTCTATATGTGACGCAATCATATTACGGAGACATGGTCCTGAACAGTAGATCGTGTTACTATATGACCCCTAGCCTCGTCACTGTTTTACTGACCAGTTCTGAAAAGTGAACGCTGTGCGAGAATTGCCTCACTGGGACTACCTCTAACGTAGAATATTAAATTTTCTATTTGAGGGTGTGAAATTAATGCCAACTATATGATTTTACAGTTTAATATCACGTGACTACAATATTGTGTCATACTGTGTCATGTGACTATGTGTTGTTACTCTATGTGTTTAATGTGTGACGTAGATAAATGTGTTGTAGCAGTGTTTGGCGAAGATAAATGAGCCAGTGACGTAGATGTGTGTTGTAGCAATGTGTGACGTAGATATATATGTGCTGTAAAAATGTGTGACGTAGATATATGTGTTGTAGCAGCCAGTAAAGTAGATGTAAGTTGTAGCAATGTGTGACGTAGATATATGTGTTGTTGAAGCCAGCGACGTAGGTATATGTGAAGTAGCAATGTGTGACGTAGATATATGTGTTGTAGCAAATATGTGACGTAGATATATTTGTTGTTGCAGCCAGCGACGTAGATATATGTGAAGAAGCAAAGTGTGACGTAGATATATGTATTGTAGCAATGTGTGACGTAGATATATGTGTTGTAGCAGCCAGTGACGTAGGTATATGTGAAGTAGCAATGTGTGACGTAGATATATGTATTGTAACAATGTGTGACGTAGATATATGTGTTGTAGCAGCCAGTGACATAGATATGTGTTGTAGCAATGTGTGACGTAGATATATGTATTGTAACAATCTGTGACGTAGATATATGTGTTGTTGCAGCCAGTGACGTAGATATGAGCTGTAGCAATGTGTGACGTAGATATATGTGTTATAGCAGCCAGTGACGTAGATATGAGCTGTAGCAGCCAGTGACGTAGATATATGTGTTATAGCAGCCAGTGACGTAGATATGTGTTGTAGCAATGTGTGACGTAGATATATATGTTGTAGCAGCCAGTGACGTAGATATATGTGTTATAGCAGCCAGTGACGTAGATATGTGTTGTAGCAATGTGTGACGTAGATATATATGTTGTAGCAGCCAGTGACGTAGATGTGTGTTGTAGCAGCCAGTGACGTAGATGTGTGTTGTAGCAATGTGTGACGTAGATATATATGTTGTAGCAGCCAGTGACGTAGATGTGTGTTGTAGCAGCCAGTGACGTAGATGTGTGTTGTAGCAATGTGTGACGTAGATATATGTGTTGTAGCAGCCAGTGACGTAGATGTGTGTTGTAGCAATGTGTGACGTAGATATATGTGTTGTAGCAGCCAGTGACGTAGATGTGTGTTGTAGCAATGTGTGACGTAGATATATGTACTGTAACAATGTGTGACGTAGATATATGTGTTGTAGCAGCCAGGGACGTAGATATATATGTATTGTAACCATGTGTGACGTAGATATGTGTACTTTAGCAATGTGTGACGTAGATCTATGACCTGTAGCAATGTGTGACGTAGATATATATGTGCTGTAGAAATGTGTGACGTTGATATATGTGTTGTAGCAGCCAGTGACGTAGATGTGTGATGTAGCAATGTGTGACGTAGATATATGTACTGTAACAATGTGTGACGTAGATATATGTGTTGTAGCAGCCAGGGACGTAGATATATATGTATTGTAACCATGTGTGACGTAGATATATGTACTTTAGCAATGTGTGACGTAGATCTATGACCTGTAGCAATGTGTGATGTAGATATATATGTGCTGTAGAAATGTGTGACGTTGATATATGTGTTGTAGCAGCCAGTGACGTAGATGCGTGATGTAGCCTTGTGTGACGTAGATATATGTACTGTAACAATGTGTGACGTAGATCTATGAGCTGTAGCAATGTGTGACGTAGATATATGCGTTGTTGCAGCCAGTGACGTAGATATATGTATTGTAGCAATGCGTGACGTAGATATGAGCTGTAGCAATGTGTGTTGTAGATATATGTGTTGTTGCGGCCAGTGACGTAGATTTATGTATTGTAGCAATGTGTGACGTAGATATATGTACTGTAGCAATGCGTGACGACGATCTATGAGCTGTAGCAATGTGTGACGTAGATATATATGTGCTGTAGAAATGTGTGACGTAGACATATGTGTTGTAGCAGCCAGTGACGTAGATATATGTACTGTAGCAATGTGTGACGCAGATATGAGCTGTAGCAATGTGTGACGTAGATATATTTTCTGTAGCAACGTATGACGTAGATCTTTGTAGCTCTCTATCGGATACCAATTATGGAAGTCTTGGGACCGGCCATTTGATTTTCTCGCCTGGGGTTTTCTCTTACGTCAGGTATAAATAACCAAACATGGTTGGATTACGTCAACATTTATCTCAAATTATCTCAACACATAGCTGGTGTATTCATTATCATGTCATCAATTACATTTTAGAGACTTATTATTCAAATACAGGTCGTATTTGAAAAGTAAGTATCTAAAATGTAATTGGTTCAAATGCATCAGTTTTTATTGATCTATCGTCCGAATTCAAACACGCTACAAGTTATAACCTGGTCACGTGACAATTGACTACTGTAGTACTGTAGCGAAAGCGTCAACAAACGGGGCATTGTTAAAAAATTTATTAATAGATATTTGGTTGAATTCTATCAAGTTTTGGAAAGTATTTTTTTTCGCAAAACAGTCATGTACCAGGTTCGTGCCCAGGTTCGTGCCCTGTGATCTTGTCCGGGCTGCTCATCCAATTCGCAGTGCCAGGAACCTATATTGGAACTGGACTCACTATTTCAATGGTTCGGGTGACGACAACATCACACAACGCAAAAAGCCAGCAGGCACGATTAATGTTGCGTGAGATATGATATGATATGATATGATATGATATATGATATATGATATATGATATATGATATGATATGATATGATATGATATGATATGAAATGATATGATATGATATGTTATGATATGATATGATATGATATGATATGCCTCATTATTACAGTGGCATAATTCAATAACACAAAATCGCTAGCCAAGGTATTACGAGTGAGTGATTGAGTATGTTATTACGCCGCTTTTAGCAATGTTCCAGCAATATCACGGCGGGGAACACCAGAAATGGGCTTCACGCATTGTACCCACGTGGGGAATCGAACCCGGGTCTTCGGCGTGACGAGCGAACGCTTTAACCACTAGGCTACCCCACCGCCCCACGTATTACGTAGGTAACGGAACAATTAAGCCGAGAGGACCCGAATGTACCTTTTCCTTGATACCCTTCTCAATTTCTTGAAGTATTTGAAGCTCAGCGAGCTTCTTCTTGACCTGCTCCAGGTCCGTCTTGACCTTGGCCAACTCCGCCACCGCCTCTTCTTTTTCCTTCCGGTACGCATCGATCTCCCGTTGGGCATCAGCCCCTCCCGTCGCGGCCTTGGATGTAGGGGGGGCCGACATCATTCCATGCTCACCCTCTGCAACAATATCAGGAATCTCGCTCTTCATCCAAATGTTGAAAATAACACATGTATCCAGTTCACCAGTTGTCACAGCTCCTAACAATCAGAGAGAGAGAGAGAGAGAGAGAGAGAGAGAGAGAGAGAGAGAGAGAGAGAGAGAGAGAGACTTTAGGGTTGCTCATTGAATTTTGGAGAAAATTGGAATTTTGAAGAATGCCGTGCTATTGGTGACGGAACTAAGGGAGTTTGTGTGGTTGTGTTTATTTCCGTTTTTTTAACCTTTTTTTAAAGTTTCCACTCACCTGTCATTACATGGATCATATAGGCACACAAAACGTCTCTAATACATCGCTGGCAAAACACGTTTGATTGAAAAACAAGACACCGAATAGACAGACAGACAGACAGACAGACAGACAGGCAGGCAGATAGGCAAATGACTGTTTCACTTGTTGATGGTTGTCGAGAAGTGAACAGATAGATATGTAAACAATACATATAATTGCTGTGTGTCAGATGAATGTGTATTTAACCCTGGATGCCGAGTTATTTTTTCTGACGCAGTTTTTCAAAAGATCTGAAAAATGAAGGTTGTGCGAGAATTGCGCCAACGCGGCACTGGATCAACCTACGGCTATAAAATTACGCAGAATTGTATAATATTAAATTTCCGTTGAATACGCGATGCCATTTAGAAAGTGGTCATATGTAACAAATGTTGTATTTGGGATAACACTTCCTCAGTAAAGTACAAATTCTGGTACTCTTTTGGATTTAATCCCATCTGGGATTCGAACCCACACTCTCAGAGTGAGGCACCCAACGCCAGATACATTTGACCATTTTCTAAATGGCATTGTGTATTCGTGGCTGTCGGCCATGGGAGCCGGGCCAGTCTACACTTATCAGGGGGATCCACAAAGTACGTTACCTAGACTACCAGTTGTCGGATTTTCATGTTTGCGGTGTGGAAGCCTCGGTGGCCGAGTGGGTTAGATCGCTGACCTTGTGTGCTGACGATGTGGTGCCTCACCCTGAGAGTGTGGGTCCGAATCCCGGATGGGTCTCAACCCAAAACAGTATTTGAATTTGTAGTGTTATAGTGTTATTTGTAGTGTTTGGAAGTGTTATCCCAAATACAACATTTATTACATTAAATTTCCTGTCTGATATAAATTGCTGTAAATTTAACTGAAAATATTAAACCGGCTTGTTAAAAAGACACTGCAAAGTGTTCCGAGATTTTGTTCTGCTTTGAAAAACAGCAAATTCTCCGCTTTTTATCGTATTTAAAAAAGTACTGTGCGGCGATATTTTTTTATTAAGCAGCTTTACGGAAACTGAGCGAACAAAATACTGCCTAATATCTGAATGACAAATATATATCAAATGGATTTATAAGCTTTTGCATAACGTCATGCATTCAATAAAAAAAATAGCTTGCCGTAAATGATGAAAACTGATTTTCCTCTGTGACGTCAGAAGACGACAGAGAGGTAACACACAAAGAGAAAGGGGAATAACTCCGCTTTGCTTAGCACTAGCTGATTGTAACGTGGTCAGGTATTATATTTGATGTGGATAAGGATGACATTTTTTCTTGATGTTTTATTCACGCGGAACAAACTATTCCAACACAAATATCGATATTTAAACTGTATACGTTAGACATAAAACAAAACATAAGAAATTATTAAATCGTACTTCATAGAAAAGGAAGTAATAGCCGAATGGATGGCCCTATCTAACATATACATTAATCCTTAGATTCCAACATTCCCCTGATTTTGCAAATGTAATTTGACTAATGTTGCACCATTATTAATGGAGGACTAGCCTTTCAATCAAATATAATGAATTACTAAAAAGATTGACACCATTATATTTGAAGTAAATTTTTATGTCTTTGACGACGTCGAAAAAAGACGACATTGGTATTTTGATAAATATATATCTCACCTAACATTTGTTTATGGTATGGAAATTCTGGATGTGTAAAACGGAATTTGACGTTTTATCGACACAACATGAAAGACTGCTTTTACCATGTAGATAATGTCTTGAGTAGATAATTAATTACATGTAGATAATGTCTTGAGTATATAAACAATTACATGTAGATAATGTCTTGAGTATATAAACAATTAGATAATTTTAACGTGTATCTTAATTGGACAAGACACGCACCAGTTTGGCATCAAGTTTACGTAATCAAATATCCGAATGAATATTTCAAAAACACAAAAATATTTTCAATATTGGACATTTATTTGTTCATTATTATGTGATTATTTCTCTTCATCTCGTTTCAGAATTACACAATAAAATATGCGAAGAAAGTTCTTTTGATATAGAATTATCAGGATAATCGTATACGGTTCAACCAGCGGGGTACATGGCACGGTTTATATTTTTCATACTTTTTACAATTCTTGGAGAAATGAAGAAATCAGTTTAATATCCTGTGATCACAATATTTTTAAAGAGTGGACCCATTGATTATATAATACAAAACGTGAGAAATAATTCGTAAATTGTTTGTCACTAACGCGACATTACCGACGCAAAACGACATAAAACAATTCCAAGACAATTCTTTTAAACATATGCGCATATATATTTAACAAAACATATTATTCATTTTATTAAATTTATATATTCAGTTTTAAGTTTAAAATAAAATGAAACAGCTATTCATTAACCTGTTTATATGAAATTACAATATTGACTTTTACAAACCAAAGAAACACGTATATGTTGCAGTTACATTTACATTTCATCTTCCAACACTTGTCTAAAGGGGAGAAAATCGGTTACGACACAATTAACGTATCAATTTCTTATGTAAACAATGTTTAAACAAACAGGTTATCAAAGTTCATACATTTTGTTGCCTATATCTACGTATGATATCATAAGGAACATTGACAAATATCCGAATATCCATGCAGTAGTGAAATTAATTGTGTGGAAAGAATATGTAAAGGATATGCAAATTCTACATCATATCTGAAACTGTAAACAGCATGATACAATGATCGTGTGTACTTTCATTCACAGACCTTTACCTCATAAAAAAAATACTAAATATGTACAACAATGCTGACCTATGACATCACTACCGGTGACCCGACTTTAACAAAATGGCGTGTTCACTGACATCAGTAAGCGGGACTTTACGAGGGGACTTTCGTAGATTCAGGAATCGTATATACATAAATGCGACAAGTAAGTGATCAGAAACATTCTGACAAGCTGTGTACTGTTGTTAGTTTTAATGTTATTCGTTGTAACCAAGAGAAATAGTTAGAAATTCCGATAAATACCGATGTGTTGTGCGTGATTTTGCGTCAGTCATGGCGTCACACAGAACGGGAGATTTGACAATATTTCTGTTGAATTTACCAAAATCACTGCCCTGTGTCTAATTTTAATTCCCTAATTCTTGCTACGATTCTCTTCTCATGCATTTTCTGAAAATGTTGAGCCAATGTAAGCAACAGAAAGACGAAAGGATAGCTCAAAATAGGAGAATGTGATATACATTGTGAAATCTTTGTTTACATTTCAAACAAGTGCAGTTTTCCGAGCACAGCGTTCGTTTTTACGCTTGATTTATTTCGCTTGATTTCATCTAGACAAATTATACTGGTGATAAAGACCATTTTTCATTTGATTCTAAAATGTATGAGGAATTCAAGGATCTTTGTAATACCTTATATACCTGATATACTAGGCGTCTCATAACCAGCATTCGTGAAACGTGATTTTGTAAACACTGTCCAATAGGCTTATGGCAGAAAGTTAACTTTGGTGAAATTTCCAAAACATTCTCGGCGTTTTGGAATGATCATTGGTGATTTTTATAAAAGACATACCCATGAATACTCATAGGCTATTTTATAAATTCATTTCCCTGAGTAAATATCTTAAAATTAGATTTAAAAACATATTGTAAATAACGCCGTGAATGGTGATTTATATGTGTCAGAAATGGCGAGATTCACGATGTACCTAATTTTCTGAGGTTATTTTCAGTAGTTTTTCTTTGCCTAAAATGACACAGAATTCAAACTGTGAAGCACATTTGTATCAAAGTGAGGGTTGGAGAGGAGGGACATATATGTCCCTGTGGTATTCAGTGGGTAAACAGACGTATGTCATGAATAACCGGGCTAACACACAGATCTTAGCAGATATATTCGTGAGGGGCAACTACTCTACACAATCATACTCACATATTACTCAGCATCTGTAACAGGAAGTTTATTTCAATCATGATGTTACCAAGAGACTGTCATTTAGCTTTGTGACGTCATTCTTCTGTGACATCAGGACATGACGTCATGAGGCATAACGCTCTGTCGCTCTAATATTAGCTTTGAAAAAAACCGCCATCTCCGGGGATATTTACTCCATCTGAGAAAGCGCCATGGCCGCTATGCATGTTTATGTGCACATATATATGTTACATCTACAATAAATAAAGTATGATAATAACAAAAAGTAAAGTTACATCTTTTGCTTTACACCAAGATGCTTTTGATGACAATTTAACCCCCTGGGTGACACAGGGACATATATGTCCCCCCTCTACAACCCTCACTTTGAAGTCGAATAAAATTAAAAATACATCATGCACACTAATACACTTCACAGTTTTGAATAAAGTGGGAAATTCCCTGTTCTGTGATATCATCCATTTAGCCCAAGCAAAAGTACTGAAAATGACCTCTGAAAATTAGGTACATCGTAAATGTCGCCATTTTTTACACATTACTAAATCACCACTCACGGCGTTATTTACAGCATGTTTTGACATCTAAATTTCGGATATTTACTCGGAGAACTGAAGTTCAAAAATATGATCATTCCAAAACGTCTCCGATAACCCTAGAATCGTTTCGAATGTTTTGGAAAATACGCAAATACGAACGCCGAAGTGAACTTTCCGGCATATTGGATAGTGTTTACAAAATAACGTTTCAGGTACACCGGTTATATGAGGCGCCTGTAACATCACGTATATTTCAAACTTAGCAGCGATACACACATCCTAGAATTCCTCATACATTTTAGAATCAAATGACCAATGGTCTTTGTCACCTATACGAAGTGGCTGGGTGAAATCAAGCAAAATAAGTTAGGTGTGAAAACGAACGCTGTGCTCGAAAAACTGCACTTGTTTGAAATGTAAACAAAGCAAAATACAGATTTTACACAGTGTAGCATTTTCTCCTATTTTGAGCTATCCATTCGTCTATTCGTTCAAGATATTGGCTCAACATTTTCAGAATATGAATGGGAAGAGAATCGTAGGAAGAATTAGGGAATTTAAAATAGATACATTGCAATGATTTGATATTTTAAACAGAAATTGTCAAAGTTACCGTCCAGTGTGACGCCATGACTGACGCAAAATCACGCAAAACGACAACGGTATTTATCGGAATTTCTGACTATTTCCGTTGGTCTCAATAAAAATTATAACAACAAATAACAGTAAACAGATTGTCAGAATGTTTCTGATTACTTACATGTCACATTTATGTATATACGATCCCTGAATCAACGAAAGTCCCCTCGTAAAATCCCGCCTACTGTTGACAGTGAACACGCCATTTTGTAAAAGTCGGTCACAGGTAGTGATGTCATACGTCAACATTGTTGTACATATTTGGTAATTTCTTTGAGGTGAAGGTCCTTGAATGAGAGTGCACACGATCATTGTATCATGCTGTTTACAGTTTCAGTTATGATGTAGATTTTGCATATCTGTAATACATTTTTCAACACAATTAATTTCACTTTGGATATTTGTCAATGTTCAAAATGATATCAAACCTAAATATAGGCCACAACATGTATGAACGAACCTTTGATAATCTCCTGTTTGTTTGAACATTGTTTACATAACAATTGATAGGTATATAGTGTCGAATACGATATTTCTTTCCTTTGCACAAGTGTTACAAGATGAAGTGTAAATGTAACTGCAGCATGTACGTATTTCTTGGGATGTGTAATGAGTCAGTATTATAAGTTCATATAACCAATGTCCATGAATAGCCGTTTAATTTATTTTAGAACTAAAACTGAATATATTACTTTAACAAAATGGATAATATTTTTCGTTAAAATATGTGCACACATTTCTGAAGCAATTGTCTTGGTCTTGGAATTGTTTTTCATGTCGTTTGATATACAGAACAGTGATATGTAACGATTCGCCAGGTGCGCGTTAGTCACAAACAATTTTCGAATTATTCCTCTCGGTTTGCATTATATAATCAATGGGTTCATTCTTTTTTCAATGTTGTGATCACAGGATATTAAGCTGTTAACTGTATTTCTCCAGGAATTGTAAAATGTATAAAAATAAAACCCATGCCAGGTACCCCGTTGGTTCAACCGTATACGATTATCCTGATAATTCTATACCAATAGAGCTTTCTTCGCATCTTTTATTGTGTAATTCTGAGACGAGATGAAGAGAAATAATAACATAATAATGAACAATATTGAATATAATTTTGGTTGTTTTGAAATATTCTTTTGGGTATTTCATTACGTAAATTGATGCCAAACAGGTGCGTGTCTTGTCTAATTAAGATACACGATAAACTATCTAATTGTTTACATATTCAAGACATTATTTACTTGGTGAAAGCAGTCATTTTATGTTGTGTCGAAAAAGCGTGAAATTCCGTTTTACAAATCAACATTTACCATACCATGAACGAAAATTAGGGGAGATATATATTAATCAAAATACCAGAGTCGTCTTTCTCCGACGTTATCAAAGACATAAAACCAGCCATGACGTCAAAAGGAATGGTGTTATCTTTTGGGTATTTCATTACATTTGATGATAAGGCTAGTGCTCCATTAATAATCAATAATGATGCAATCTTAGTCAAATTACACTAACACAATCAGGAGAATAGGGCCATCCATTTCTCCATAATCTCTTTTTATGAAGTGCAATTTCATCATTTCTTATGGTTGTTTTTTTTATAACTAAACGTATACAGTTTCAATATCGATATTTGTGTTGGAATAGTTTGGTTCCTCGTGAACAAAACACCAAGAAAATATATTGTCCTTACCCACAGCTAATTCTCACCAAGTGACCTGAGTTACAACAAACTAGAGCTAAGCATAGCGGAGTTATGCCCCCTTTTCTTTGTACGGGTGTAACCTCTCTGTCGCCCTTTGACGTCATAGAGAAAAAGCAGTTTTCGTCATTTACGGCATACTATTTTTGGCATTGAATGTATGTCGTTATACATACGCATCTAACTCCATTTGATATATAGTTATGTCGTTCAGATATTAGGCAGTATTGTGTTGGCTCACAGTTTCCGTAAAGCTTCTAAATGAAAAAAATCGTCGCACAGCTGTAGTGTGTACGTATACCGCTGTAGTGTGTATGTATACAGCTGTAGTGTGTACATATACCGCTGTAGTGTGTATGTATACAACTGTAGTGTGTATGTATACAGCTGTAGTGTGTATGTATACAGCTGTGGTGTGTATGTATACAGCTGCAGTGTGTATGTATACCGCTGTAGTGTGCATGTATACAGCTGTAGTGTGTATGTATACAGCTGTAGTGTGCATGTATACAGCTGTAGTGTGTATGTATACCGCTGTAGTGTGCATGTATACAGCTGTAGTGTGCACGTATACCGCTGTAGTGTGTATGTATACCGCTGTAGTGTGTACGTATACCGCTGTAGTGTGCATGTATACCGCTGTAGTGTGTACGTATACCGCTGTAGTGTGCATGTAAACCGCTGTAGTGTGTATGTATACCGCTGTAGTGTGCATGTATACCGCTGTAGTGTGTATGTATACCGCTGTAGTGTGCATGTAAACCGCTGTAGTGTGCATGTATACAGCTGTAGTGTGCATGTATACAGCTGTGGTGTGTATGTATACAGCTGCAGTGTGTATGTATACAGCTGCAGTGTGTATGTATACAGCTGCAGTGTGTATGTATACAGCTGTAGTGTGTATGTATACAGCTGTAGTGTGTATGTATACAGCTGCAGTGTGTATGTATACAGCTGTAGTGTGCATGTATACAGCTGCAGTGTGTATGTATACAGCTGTAGTGTGCATGTATACAGCTGCAGTGTGCATGTATACAGCTGCAGTGTGTATGTATACAGCTGTAGTGTGCATGTATACAGCTGCAGTGTGCATATATACAGCTGTAGTGTGCATGTATACAGCTGTAGTATGCATGTATACAGCTGTAGTATGTATGTATACAGTTGTAGTATGTATGTATGTATACAGCTGTAGTGTGTATGTTTACCGCTGCAAGGTGTATGTATACAGCTGTAGTGTGTATGTATACAGCTGTAGTGTGTTTCATATCTACTGACATTCACATCGTTTCTCTGCGTGACGAGCGTTGGGTCGTTTCCAGAATATCCCATCACGTGATCTACAAAAGGTAAACAAACATCTCGCTCTTATTGCACCAGCTGATGCAAACCTATGAACATAGATATGGATCAGTTTGCAAGTCGCTTTCTCACAATCCGAGATACATGGGAAAGACATGGGATGTTTCTAGGGGCAGATTTGTTTACCCGTTCATCTCTCGCGTTGCTTCCTAAACATCATTATCATGTTTGATACATAAGACCCCGGGACACAAGCGAACGAAACATGTCAATGCCAAGCTGTTCGTCTTGTGTTGTTCGACGAGATCCCATCTGAGAAACCACTCGGAATGTGTTTTCACAAGGTATAAACATCTACAGGAGCCAACTATGTATTAAGACTCTTCGGAATCAGTCGCCCCTAAAACACTGCAGTCGGATCCACTCGGTTCTCTTCCTGTAAGTCTGTTGTATACCTTGTCGTCCTCGGTACAGCGGGTGACAAGCGGATCCCAAGACGTATATTAACCCCACAATCACGTGGTTTACTGTGTACACGATTAACAGCGTCTGACAGGTTGAATGTATTTCCAATATTGCCAAATATGATGACGGTAAAAAGTATTATATCAAATACCGTCATGTTGTGAGTGGATGACGTCGCTCGCACACGTCACGTGGAACACGGCGACATCACACACACACACGTCACGCATAGTGTCCTGCAACGACACACATCAAGAACATCTACTAAACGTCTGCCTTGCACAGTCGCCTGATCCAACCATAGATGGAACTGAAAGTCCATATCCAGATGCTTCTCTGGACAAACGGGGCGGTGGGTAGCCTTCTGGTTAAGCGTTCGCTCGTCACGCCGAAGACCCGGGTTCGATTCCCAACGTTGGTACAATGTGTGAAGCCCATTTCTGGTGTCCCACGTCTTGATATTGCTGGAATATTGCTAAAAGCGGCTTAAAACCATACTTACTCACTCTGGACAAACAAAAAACGTCTGCCCGGACTTTACGCAGTGTCAAATGATCTTCCGAAATGAATAGTTACAGGTTCTGCGCTTATTCAGAGAGTTATTGTACAACACAGAGAGTTATTGTACAACACAGAGAGTTATTGTACAACACAGAGAGTTATTGTACAACACAGAGTTATTGTACAACCCAGAGAGTTATTGTACAACCCAGAGAGTAATTGTACAACACAGAGAGTTATTGTACAACACAGAGAGTTATTGTACAACACAGAGAGTTATTGTACAACACAGAGAGTTATTGTACAACACATAGAGTTATTGTACAACACAGAGAGTTATTGTACAACCCAGAGAGTAATTGTACAACACAGAGAGTTATTGTACAACACAGAGAGTTATTGTACAACACAGAGAGTTATTGTACAACACAGAGAGTTATTGTACAACACAGAGAGTTATTGTACAACCCAGAGAGCTATTGTACAACCCAGAGAGTTATTGTACAACACAGAGAGTTATTGTACAACACAGAGAGTTATTGTACAACACAGAGAGTTATTGTACAACACAGAGTTATTGTACAACACAGAGAGTTATTATACAACCCAGAGAGTTATTGTACAACACAGAGAGTTATTGTACAACACAGAGAGTTATTGTACAACACAGAGAGTTATTGTACAACACAGAGAGTTACTGTACAACACAGAGAGTTGGTTTAATTCTCGGATGTGCTCCGTTAATACTCCGCGGCTAGTGTGACCAACACATTCCACATGAAGCCGTCTGTGTATATAGCGTCCATACCGCCACGAATCTATAGCACGGAGCTGTGGCAAGGTTCGTGATTTTAAATCTTCCATAAATAGGTATGTGCTGGAAACATCGATGGGGAGCGTTTATAAATTGAAGCATTCATAAAATATACAATACTAGTTCTACCTTATAAGGCAACAGACGGAAAGGTTACAACACGTATCGTTATGAACGTGCGTGGATATTTTCGTCAGTTGGTTTACGGAGGCCCACTGCATTCACTATTGTAGGTTTACTATAGTTCGACTGACCATAAAAAAAACCCAAATGACGACAAAAAGTATGTGTTTACGCTCATCTATATAGCACTATAAATATAGCAGACACTACACAGTGAATTGGCCCATCTATAGTACTATAAATATAGCAGACACTACACAGTGAATTGGCCCATCTATAGTTCTATAAATATAGCAGACACTACACAGTGAATTGGCCCATCTATAGTACTATAAATATAGCAGACACTACACAGTGAATTGGCCCATCTATAGTACTATAAATATAGCAGACACTACACAGTGAATTGGCCCATCTATAGTACTATAAATATAGCAGACACTACACAGTGAATTGGCCCATCTATAGTACTATAAATATAGCAGACACTACACAGTGAATTGGCCCATCTATAGTACTATAAATATAGCAGACACTACACAGTGAATTGGCCCATCTATAGTTCTATAAATATAGCAGACACTACACAGTGAATTGGCCCATCTATAGTACTATAAATATAGCAGACACTACACAGTGAATTGGCCCATCTATAGTACTATAAATATAGCAGACACTACACAGTGAATTGGCCCATCTATAGTACTATAAATATAGCAGACACTACACAGTGAATTGGCCCATCTATAGTACTATAAATATAGCAGACACTACACAGTGAATTGGCCCATCTATAGTTCTATAAATATAGCAGACACTACACAGTGAATTGGCCCATCTATAGTTCTATAAATATAGCAGACACTACACAGTGAATTGGCCCATCTATAGTACTATAAATATAGCAGACACTACACAGTGAATTGGCCCATCTATAGTACTATAAATATAGCAGACACTACACAGTGAATTGGCCCATCTATAGTACTATAAATATAGCAGACACTACACAGTGAATTGGCCCATCTATAGTACTATAAATATAGCAGACACTACACAGTGAATTGGCCCATCTATAGTTCTATAAATATAGCAGACACTACACAGTGAATTGGCCCATCTATAGTACTATAAATATAGCAGACACTACACAGTGAATTGGCCCATCTATAGTACTATAAATATAGCAGACACTACACAGTGAATTGGCCCATCTATAGTACTATAAATATAGCAGACACTACACAGTGAATTGGCCCATCTATAGTTCTATAAATATAGCAGACACTACACAGTGAATTGGCCCATCTATACTACTATAAATATAGCAGACACTACACAGTGAATTGGCCCATCTATAGTACTATAAATATAGCAGACACTACACAGTGAATTGGCCCATCTATAGTTCTATAAATATAGCAGACACTACACAGTGAATTGGCCCATCTATAGTACTATAAATATAGCAGACACTACACAGTGAATTGGCCCATCTATAGTACTATAAATATAGCAGACACTACACAGTGAATTGGCCCATCTATAGTACTATAAATATAGCAGACACTACACAGTGAATTGGCCCATCTATAGTACTATAAATATAGCAGACACTACACAGTGAATTGGCCCGCGTACCCGTCCCTGCCAGTGTGCGTACTTAGTTTAAACTCCACAAACACAGTGTGACCATCACATTTCAGCGAAAAAACTTCTGATTTATTTAAATATTTAAACATATATTCACATTCAGAGCTTTGTAGGAACTATTTCATGGAATTGTAAATGTTTGTATGGAAACATAGAGTCTTGTTGTATTTATTCAACTATAAATCGCGTGACATTAAAACACATTTTTTCTTTCTACGTTTTAGTACATACCCGTTGAGATAGATCCAGTAAGGACTAGTGTAGGTTTTACACAAATGAGCAACCCACAAATCTTTAATAGGTATTTGTTTCGAAGTCCATAAAGACACAGGATATATGTATTCCCATTTATGTACTCTTGAAATGCAACGTGGCGTGTAATATAATACAGTTAAAATCCATATTTATCTTCTGCGTCTCTGTGCATATCCTTTGAGCCCACATTCAACTGTTATGACAGGGAATAGCTGTTGTACATAAAACGTTTGGTCTCTGGCTTTACATGATAACATTAAAACTTTGGGATAAGACTACATGTTTTGCATTGTCATAAGTCTTGCGTAAGCGTATCACGTGTTTGTTAGATTGTTTTGTTTACCAGATACATAATAATGGCGTTGTCCGCATAGACAAACCTTCACCTTCAAATGAAATTGACCTTCACCTTTCAAAATTATTCCGATCGAGGCTGCATTTCTCAGCACAGTGTTCGAGGATTTCCCCTTTACGCATTATAATTTGGCAGTTTCTGCATTTACAATGATTATATGAAAGCAGTTGTTATCCTCTTTCGGGATAAGTGTACTGGGTGGTGGCCACAACCTACGGTTCGCCGTAGGAGTCACCAGACTCGAATATCAATGCAGGAAGTGTGATCGAACGGTGTCAGACGAGTCATCGATAGTACGGAAAGACAAAAGTATCGTCTGGGGAAAGATCGTACTACGCATATTATGGACGTATCTGACGAACTGGTTTGACAGTAGCCTATTCTCATAGGCTTCTGTGTACATTGTGTTTATTCTTTGGGATATAACCGTCCAAAACAGCCTCAAACCTCGCCTCATTACTTTTGTTTTGGTGGGTTTTTCTCGAGCAGAGGAAACAAAATGGCGGATGTAGATCCAGAAACCTTGTTAGAATGGCTACAGATGGGCCAAGGAGACGAGAGAGATATGCAGCTGATCGCACTCGAACAACTTTGTATGCTGCTTCTGATGTCGGATAATGTGGATAGATGTTTTGAAAGGTAAGAAGTATTTCTTTTTGTTTGGCACACAGATGTGCTTCCTTTCAGGGAGAGATCAGCTGGTATAGTTCACATCAGGTGAAAACATACGTGTACTCTAAAATTAGTTTTGCGTCATACTCCCAATCCTGCGAATATTATACATATGGCTCATAACATTATGATAAAACAAATAATACTTCTTTTATTTGAATAATTGTTTTGATTTCCATTACTTAGTATGCAAAGTATTTGTATGTAATAATCCATACACCTCCCTGTACCTGCTGTATGATGTCAACAACGTTGGTTCCTTGCAGTCTGTAAACATGGCAACTTTGGTCTGACAATTAATTAATATGTTGGATATTTAACTCAATAAGTAGTTTTATGTTTACTTACAACAAATAAGATAAGAAATTAGGGAGTTTACTTGAGGATTTCTGTCATGTTTAGTCTAGGGCTCTCACAGTCCTTGAATGTTGATAAACATCACGGAGATGGCCAAGGGAATCCTTGAATTCATTCTTAATGTTAAAAAATGGTTTACATATATCCCTTGTGTCTTATGTGAAAACTCTGGGCCTTCACTATATGCATTAGTGATATTGTGATTCACCAGTACATCATGTACATCGGTGCATTGTCGGCGAACTTTGCACGATATGATACCCGATACACTTACCGGTAATTTGGCATTCATTCACATTTAACCCCATATCAATTGTCCTTGTATATCTCGAATCAATGTCAATAAGCATGATAAGTAAGAACAAATGATTTTTTAAGACCTCATAGTTTCTTAGTCGCCTTTCGGATAAGAAACCGGCTCGATAACAAGATCGATCAGCTTTTCCTTGCTGCCCGTCAAAATGCAGTACATAAACTTGTTTGTTTCTTATTTCTTCTCATACAAAATAGTTGACTTGACTTTGTGTCATGTCATTGTGTATTAGTCAGTTGTCCTTCTTTACCTTTATGCGAGTCTACGGACTCTATTCTCAGTCTTATGATTGGATTTTCTGCACAAAATGTATATGCAGTGTCGAGATTTATTAGATACATATATTGTGGCTTCTGTATCAGGATTTGTGTCGTATTGTGCATGCAGATATGATTAGATATAACATTGTTCTGTCTGACAGACACTTACTCCCTTAGAGTTGTTTCCTCATTTGTATGTTATAGATTCATTAGAGTTGAAATCATATTATTAATTATGTAATATGATTATGTCATATAATTCTACCACTTTCAACTAATCTCAAGAAACTGTGAGGTTAGGCTTCGATAAATTGCCAAAGGCCCCGATTTTTATTACCTCACATGGGTACACCCATTTCTTGTATCCCCTGCCATGATATTGCTGGTTAATTGCATAAGAACACGCTCACATATTCACTCAAGATCAAGTGTGTTTAATGCTAAATAGTGATGGTATTGGCCCGAATTTCGTATCTCAATTTATTGCGATAATGTTTTATGTATTGCAATACATAGCACACTACATGGCATGCAGTCTTTCATGTGTTATTGGTTATGAACCTGAATTAAAAAAACTTTCCCTGCATATTTTTTACATCTTAGTATTTTGTTGGATGTAGCTATGGTAACAATGGATGAGGTAATAGACACATTATGTACAGGAAACTGGTTGCTTTTTTGATCAGAGGAAACAGTTGCTAAGTTCAAAATTTCAATTGACTTGTCTTAGTTGTCACTTACGTAAACTTTTCCAACAAGATGAAGATAGGCATGATTTTGAAAAACTCAACATACAAGCATTTTCCAAACATAATGTAATAAATGTTCATTATTATTTCATATACCGGTAACACCGAGTACCTCTATTGTTTAATCAATGTTATATCATGTAGATATATATATTACAGGTTACCCGCCGGGTAGAATCAGTCAAATGTCCAGTGATAAGTCTGTACCATGTGCACAAGGGAGGACCTATTTATGTCCTTATCGAGATTGTAGCACTTCGTTTACTGAACAGTTGTCATGAATATTGTGTTGTTAAAACTTTGTTTGCTTGGTGATAGATTGGTGTCTTCCTTTCCTGTACCAAAGTGCAAATTGCTGTGCTGTTTGTACATGTCACAGTTTTTTTGCAAGTCAATCATTCCATAGGTGCATTTGGTGGCTGGTGCTTGGTGAAAGTGTTGGAGAGTTTACACCCCCCCCCCCCCCCCCCCCAGCCTGCACCTCTGCTGTCCTAAGCCTGAGACTCCCAGTTGTTGCCCTCAGCATGCCCAACTCCCCGAGTATCTTTTTACACTATGTGTTCACTACGAGCCAATTGCTGCATCTAGCATGTATCAAAGAGCCAACAGACATTCCAGGTAGCTAGCCAGCCAGCATCCTCTGAAAATACAAAGAAACAAAAAAAGTGATCAAACAGTTGACACAGACAGACTTTTGTGGCTTTCATTCTAGACTGTTGTGACTGTACTCTGCATGGATACTTACAATACATGATTTGGGCAAAGTCTTTCTGTGAAGTATGTGCTTGCATTGTTGGTTGTCAATCTGTTTTTAATTCATTTTATCTGTGAAACTATTCATATGAATATCTGATGATAACACATCAACAGTGTATTGCCAGGGAATCATGTTCATGGGAGACACGATGCATCAGTCTGTTGTCATGACACTTACACCCCAAACAATTCCTAGTGCAATGTGAGGGATGCAGTCTATATCATGATTATGTGTACCCTGGTATCGTTTAGGCCACGAGGACTGTCAAGGACCCTAGATGTGATCTTTGTAATGGTTATGTAGACTCTGAGATGCAAGGACTTATTCCTTCCTTCAGTCAGTGCAGCATGTTGTATACCCTGTAGCATGCCTACAGCCTGCGTGTATTGAGTAGAATTGGACAGGTGTTGAACAAATGATCATGAAGTATCTGATGGTCACTTTGTTTGCCATCTCAGGTAAACATGAGGCTGTAGAGCAACACCTGACCCCAGCCTATCCCGCTCATAGTGGTACTCGTAGGTAGACCTGGCCAGTCCATAGCAAATACCATGGTTACGGTTTCTACCATAAACATGGTTCAGGTACTAAGGTTACGTTTCTACCATAAACATACTTCAGGTACCATGGTTACGGGTTCTACCATAAACACGCTTCACGTACCATGGTTACTACAGGTTCCACCATAAACATACTTCAGGTACCATGGTTACGGGTTCTACCATAAACACGCTTCACGTACCATGGTTACTACAGGTTCCACCATAAACATGCTTCAGGTACCATGGTTATGTTTTCTACCATAAACATGGTTCAGGTACTAAGGTTACGGGTTCTACCATAAACATGGTTCAGGTACCATGGTTACTACAGGTTCTATCATAAACATGCTTCAGGTACCATGGTTACTACAGGTTCCACCATAAACATGCTTCAGGTACCATGGTTACGGGCTCTACCATAAACACACTTCAGGTACCATGGTTACTACAGGTGCTATCATAAACATGCTTCAGGTACCATGGTTACTACAGGTTCTATCATAAACATGCTTCAGGTACCATGGTTACTACAGGTTCTACCATAAACACGCTTCAGGTACAATGGTTACTACAGGTGCTTTCATAAACATGCTTCAGGTACCATGGTTACTACAGGTTCTATCATAAACATGCTTCAGGTTCCATGGTTACTACAGGTTCTACCATAAACACGCTTCAGGTACCATGGTTACTACAGGTGCTATCATAAACATGCTTCAGGTACCATGGTTACTACAGGTTCTATCATAAACACGCTTCTGGTACCATGGTTACTACAGGTGCTATCATAAACATGCTTCAGGTACCATGGTTACTACAGGTTCTATCATAAACATGCTTCAGGTACCATGGTTACTACAGCTTCTATCATAAACATGCTTCAGGTACCATGGTTACTACAGGTTCTATCATAAACATGCTTCAGGTACCATGGTTACTACAGGTTCAACTATAAAATTCGGCTACCAGTGGAGTTTGTACAGACTCACAGAGTCATATCGTTTTTTATTTTGTATATAAGGGTCCAGAAAGGTGTAGAAATGGTGTAGTGAACTGTACTGTAAGCAGCGACTGAAACCAACAGTTTTAGTCCAGTAGTCCTCATAATAATCATGATAATAGCATATAGCAAAACCTTTGGAAGGGGCAGATTTCTACTACTAGTCCTTATGATACCTTAACTATCGGGCAGTTTGGCAAGGACTATAGGACAAGTGCCAATTTCTAATGCTGTGTAAGATTTGATAATTATTTGAATTATACAACCTTTATTTTTCTTGTCAAGAATTATTGTGCGTACCTTTGGAGGCGATATTGTTTCTGTCTGCATCCATTCCATATATTTGTGAAGCTTGTTTATTTGTGCGCATTGGACACTTGTGAGACGAGTAAAACCCTGAAACAATAAATTGTCTTGCTAATAACAGACCATGCAGGGAACATTATGAACACCTTGAATGTTTCTTTATTGTGGTACTTTGCAGTAACCATGGTGATGGTACCTGTGTATGTCAGATAGGTACAATTAACATCCAAAGGCTGTGGTATTCTTAGCTATGAATGTCAAGGGTTTTCATATTAACAAATAGTTAACAGTTAACAAATCTATTGCTGGTGATGAATAAATCTTGAGGGTATGCTCTTGTGGGGAGGTAGGGGGATGAAGGAAATTATTGTCATCACAGTTCTGGAACATTTTATTCACAAATAAACAATAAAACAACAAATACAGAATGAGCTGAATACCTGCTAGACACTACATAGAGTGGAGTCACCGGCTCAGACACCCCGGAGGTGAGTGTGGTCCCAGATCAGTTCCAGTCACATCATGTTCACGGTCGCTCCAATGTGTATACAAGCCGTTGTTTCAGTATAGAAGCAGTCTAAATACCAGACTGCCTGAATATCTATGTGAAGTACCGTATATCTATATCTAATATTGCAATTGCTAATTTAACATGTGTAGGTTAATGGATGGTGTTTAAGTAC